GAATAGGAAGATTGACTAGGTCTAATGATGCCACGCTCCAACATGTCTTTGCACTGCCTTTCAATTTCATCCTTTTGTGCATGGGGGTATCGATATGGTCACACCACTACAGGATGCGTTCCTGGCTCCAAGTTGATGCGATGGTCATGCGATCGAACGGGACGAAGGCCCGGCGGTTCTTGAAATAAAGAGTTAAATTTAGCTAGGAGTTTGTTGAGTTCCTTATCTAATTNTCACGCTCCAACATGTCTTTGCACTGCCTTTCAATTTCATCCTTTTGTGCATGGGGGTATCGATATGGTCGCACCACTACAGGATGCGTTCCTGGCTCCAAGTTGATGCGATGGTCATGCGATCGAACGGGACGAAGGCCCGGCAGTTCTTGAAATAAAGAGTTAAATTTAGCTAGGAGTTTGTTGAGTTCCTTATCTAATTGGGACTCAATTTCTGCGGCTTGAAGTTGTGCAATTGGAGTGGGATGTGAGCTCTCAGTTCCCTACAATTCTATAACTCTTCCATTCTGTTTGAAAATCATAGTTTTTACCTTGAAATCCCATAGGATGGGACCCAACGATCGAAGCCAGTTGACTCCCAATACGGCATCAGCTCCATTTAAAGTTAAAATGTAGAGATCAATAAGAATTAATTGATTACCCATCGCAATAGGAACATCCCGACACTGACGTGGACTTTTGATTTTACTGCCGTTTACGACCACGACTTACAGCCTCTCCTTAGGTTCACAAGTAAGTCTCAATTCATTCACCCATCTAGAATCTAGGAAGCTATGAGTGCAACCCGATTCAATCAGAATCATTAAGCTGTGTCCCCTAATTATCCCTTGAATTCTCATTGTTTGGCCTCCTGAATTCTCTCTCGTGATAGCATGTAGTGAGATTTCTGGTTCAATTTCTTCTTCAAATTCATGATCTTCGTTATCTCCCTACACTGATTCCTCCACACCATCTAGCCAGAACAAACGCTTGCATTGGTGTCCCCAATTGTAAATCTCATCGCAATTGAAGCATAAGCCCTTGGCTTGACGCTCATCCATCTCAGCGTGGCTAAGTCGTTTGACTATTTTCTGGTTGGGAGAGCTTTTTGGTATAATTGGTGATGGTTTAGAAAAAGAAATCATGGTTCTATTTGCCCCCCACGCCTCTCATATAAACGGGCTAGGCTCGTGGCATTAATTAAATCCCAGGGCTAGTGTAATTCTACCTCAATTGCAATGTATTCATGTAACCCGCTTATGAAAATCTCCACTTCTTGTTCTGTAGTAAGAGGACCAGCTTGGGCTGCCAATTGCTCAAATCAGTGTTGATACTCCTCTACTGTGCCCCCTTGTCGAAGTTTGGAAAGTTCCCCAATTTGTTGCCTTGAATTGATGGACCAAAACGAAGGTGACACTGCCGTTTAAATTCTTCCCAAGAGATTTCGAGTCGGTCCTCATCTAGTTTGAGGAACCATACTTGTGCATCCTCATCTAAGTGGTAAGAGGCAATTTCTACCTTTTCTTCCTCTGGAATGTGTTAATGGCGGAAGTAATAATCACAACGACTAAGCCAGGCGAGCGGGTCATTTTTCTCGTCATAAATGGGGAAATTCCAGCCGACCATATCTAGGGTTTTGCACACGCCCCTCCAAACGGTTAACCGCCTGAGGATGCCCTCTTGGTACTCGGTTCACACTTCCATCATCTCCCTGTTAACCCTCTAATGTGGTGGTAGCCAAGTCACGAGAGAGCTCTTCGATTTGGGCAGAAAAATGCTCCCTCTCAGTTCTATCTTACTGTTGGTCCTATATTGCTGTTGGTTCTCCTGGTACATCTTCATGAAGGTCTCAAATTGTTTATGTAGGTTGTTAGAGGCATCGCCCATAACTTCTGGCTCTGATACCAATTTTTTATGGTCCCGAAACTGTTATCAAGTTACAGGACAATTGACTGCGAAATCAACTTGTAAAGAATGATGTTTGTCGAACTTTCTTCCTTTATGACCTATTTTTAAATATGGAAGGGCTTCTTCAAGAGAGAACCCAACGATCTCAATGCAAATAAGAGTTTGAAAATTTTCCTCCTCTTTTCCCTAACATTCCAGCTTACAATATAAAGTAATTGTTCAATAACCAACTCCTACAAAGTAGGCACCACTACTGCACTATCTAAACTAACAATCATAAAACTAGGAAATAACAATAAAATTTGAAATAAAATCTGCAAGCTAGAACATAATGTATTGCTGGACAAACTCCCATCTTAAAGCTCCTACTTTTCAGCCACGCCTTTGATACACTTGTACTTTGGAAAACTTGTCTACGTGGCTACTCATAATATCATGATTGATTATTTTGAATTTGAACTGAAAATCAGGGATCCGGATTAGAGTTTTGAGTGCGGTAATGCACAATGATCCGAAACGATGCATTTGACTGCATAAAATGAGATGCCTGGTTCCTTTTAAACTAATTGTAAGTGCACATAGGTTGAGTGGTAATAAGGGTTTACATCTAATTTGAAGTTGTAGAGGATACTCACTGAGTTCGTAAATGCTTGAGGGGTAATTTACTAATACATTTAACAATAGCTAAATAAGTGTGGAAAAGTTGGTCATGTTGATTCTACATGTTATTATGTTTTCAAAAAAGTTATGAAAAAATTAGAAGACGACTTTGATAAAGATTTTGATTTAACCCCATCCGAAATTGGATTTCAACTATAGTTTTTATGGAATTACATCCAAGAGAATTCCAAATGATAAAGACTACAATATTAATGAAATTAGTGATTTTTCTTCAGAAACCGAATCTTCAGGACAGGATAAAGCTTGTTCTTCTTATTGTAAAGACATTTAAGTCATGTCTACATTTGGCATGAGTAAAACAGAGAAGATGGTTCTCATCAACACTCCTACAGTTGCCATAAAAGGCAAAGGAAAAGATAAAGTTGAGGAAGTAGTCAAGGAAAATATCATGCAAACACAACTTTAACAAACAATAAAAACTTTCAGAGAAACATCATTATCACAAGATTATTTTCACAATATCAAAGTAAGAGTAGTCCAGCAGAATTAAATCACAATTACATAAACAACAAAAATTAGTAATAGATCTACATATAAATCAATTTTAACAAACAATAAAAGGACTTTGAGTACTGAAGTTAAATTGTGATGTATACGAAACGTCACGAAACACATTCCTGTGCATTGATTTGCATTAGTTAAGCTATTTTTGATTCGATACTTATTTGCATTAATCTATGTGTTAACTATTAGGATCGAAGGTTACTACCTCGGTTACACATAGGAATTGAAAAAAATGAAGGGTATCTATCAGCGATAAAATTGAAGTGTACTGCTTCATTATACTTGGAAATAAAAGTATATGCTATATCAAATTTATTCTCTTATATGTGAGAAATCAACTTTGCCGAATTGATTTGAGTTGAGTTGTTTAAATTATGGATCAAAAATATTTTTTATGAAAAACTTGTGTTTTAAGTATTATCCACTATGCCGAGTTGTTGATAGCTAGACATAGCTTACATGTTGTTGATTTGGACGCTGTGCAGTTGTCGTGAAAAAACTTGACATTGCTTAAATGTTATAGGAAGTCTAACATTGCTTATATGTTGTTGTTTGACTCGCTGCCTATGTGGATATTTACTTATTTTGATATATGAGGATGATTTGAGTTTCAAAGTGAGTTGAGTTCACTTTGGTTGTGATTTGCGAGTTATGAGTATCTTTTGGATAGAATTATATTTGATCTATACTTTTGTTTTATTTTTGTTTATTTATGATGTTCAGTACACTCAAGAAAATTATTGGTTTCAGAATACTAAAGTCTAGAGGGAGGTCCACTACTGCACTAGCATGGTAGAGATGAAGGAAAAATTAAGGAATCTAGTTATGTACATACTATATAGGAGTGTCTGTTTTCCCTGTTATATGTTGTAAAGAGATGGAATCCCTAATCCTTAATTTTGGCAAAAATGGCACCGTTGTGTACTCGATATATAGTTTTCTGTTTTGATTGTGGCATTAGGTGACATTATTAATTTTTAAATGCATTACTACTTTATAAATGCAGGTATCGCCACGTGTTGAGTTATGCTTCTATCTCTGAAAAATCAAATAGGATCTCTCAGGATGAGATGTGACAATAAGAATTTGATTATGAAACTCTTCTAGAATTTTAGTAGGAAAATAACTTTTATTTTGGTAGGGAACTTGACCTATAAATAATGGTGTAATCCCAACTATTTTTAGTTAGAAAGGCTATGAATAAAAAGTGTTTCTCTGTGGAAAATTTTGTGTGTTTCTTGACCTAATCCTTACGAGAGTTTGGTATCTCTTCTACTTCTTTCTATTACCTTATTTATTCTTCTTCCTATTACCTTATTTTTTCTTCTTTTGTCCTACATCAACATGAGACAAGTAAAAGGTATTTAGCCAAATTATTTGAAAGGTGGCTCCACCCAATGTGTCTCAGTCAGTGCGTTCAGAGAGGTTGAGAAATATCAAAGCAACTTAAGTGACAATTTTTTCGATACAAATCCTTGTATCTCTCATGCTTTCAAGGTATCATCTCATCTGTATCCGGTGTTAATCCTACCTTTGGTGGATTTTTCAAAATGTCGTAGTCTGCCTTAAGACTTGTTTGGTAATTGTGACCACTACGCCTTGAGCCCAATTCTCTTACTCTTCTAGTTCAAATTAATTTAAAAAATCAAGGAGATAGAGAAAGAACTATGAGCGGTTACTTCTCTCAAGTTTAAAGAAACTTTTCGCAACCCCATTCCACATGGAAACTCCAAAAAGTGGCCCAGCCGGTTGTTACTAAGAAAGCATCACCCCTAATAAAGCAATCATTTGGCCTTAAAATATGAAATGGATCTTCATTCCATGGTTTCCAAGGCAAAATTTAATTTCCAATCCTATCATATAAATATACATGCCCTTACAAGTGGTCCAAAACCAATTATGCCTGCTACAAAACTATTGATACAAAAAGTAACAGCATGCACAGAGTCCCAATCCCTCGTTCATTGCAATAGCCAGCACTTCCTGTTCAATGCAACATAGAAAGGCGCACACCCACAAAACTCACCCCATCCCCACAAAAACCCACACAAACATACCCAAAGATCAAAATATCGTTTCAGCGCATTGTTTCGGTCACCTAAGAAATGAAAACTTTTTGAAAATATTTCGGAAGCATAATGAGAATGGATAAAAATTTACAGATAAATTTTTAAAACATTTAAAAGTATTGGTCTAAATATAGTTAAAGATCTTGAAACATCTCGAAACATTCAAAAACATTGGTGAAGACATATTTAAACATATTTTGAAAAAAACTCAACATTCTGAAATATCTTGAAGTATTAGAATTTCAATTCAATTAAATGATTCGTTTTAGTCTCCTTAAAAACGGAAATGTTTCAGACATTTTGACTGTTTTGACACAATATTTTGATCTTTGAACATACATTATAATGGCATTATAACTGGGGGAAAAAAATCATTAATGGACCAAATAAAAGAATTATAACCTATTTTTACAAGTAACGAGGAGATCAAATATGGTTCTCTCTTCAGCACAGTAGACCATGTCTTCATAGGACATTGTGTGTGGGGTGTGTGTGTGTGTGTGTGAGAGAGAGAGAGAGTTGAGTGGTACACTTACACGTCTCGGTTCCTTATGAACTACTCTTATCTCTCTAAAGCCAATGAAAGGACGAAAAAGATCTTCAACAAGTCAAGGAATCAAATTGAAGATCAAAATTCATACTAAGGGAGTCCAGGGACATGCATCAAGAATTTGATTTCAGTTCAAAAAAGTATGCAAGTTCGCTATTTTCCTCCAGATGGTCTCTCCCCATAGAAGCCACAATGTAGGCTCAATTCCAATGTGACTGGGAACAAACTATACTAGCCTCGAATAAATGGAAAGATTTTCATTGGTGTATCCCCCCCCCCCTTCTTCCCCCAAAACCCGAAACAAAAAACACCGCGAAAAACTTCAATAGTGTCTCATGCACCAGTTGAGAGTCACGTAATCAAAACAGACATGCATGGGAGATAGGGAAAAAAAGGATACGGCCTAGTTCTCTTCTCGAACAATCAGTTGGAAGACCATCAACGAACAGAATGTTCGATTCTCCGACTGCAGCAGAAGGGAGATCAGCCTTTCTCAAAGAATCTGGTCTTTCATTAATTATGTCGGGGATGCCAGGACTAATTCCAAGTGCAACATCTCGTCTTTGGCCAAGTAAACTTGGATCTTCAAGAGGAGATGGGTAGCCTCTAAAGCTTGCTGCAGCTGATAATCCACCAAGAACAGGTTCAGGATGAACACCGACACCCGCTATATCATCTACGACATATGCCCCAGGCCGCGATGGTAAGATCTAAAAGTAGAACCAAAAGCTCATTATCTATCATTCAAAATTACAATTCAAACCCCTCTAATATGTTAGTCCTTACATCCTTTCGTAGGAAATCTGAAGCACTACCCCGCAAATCATTAGAGTTCCATAAATGATGAGATGTTAATGCAGATGCTTCAGATGACAGGTAGCCAGGAAAGCTTGGTGTTGGAATGTTTCCTGCAACAACATAAGTTACTAACCAAGGGACCGGAAAAAGATCAAGCAAGACAAAAAATAATAGAGAAAGAAGGCAAGAGTAGCCATTGGAAACTCAGCATACTAGAAAACACGTATAGCCTGTAAGATTATACAGAAATATAGGAAAAAACTGCCCAAGAGCCCACATCTACTTAGTTGAGCTTGATCCCAAATAAAACTCATACAAAACAGAAGACAAAGCGTAGAAATGATCAAAAACATAACTTGATGGTGAAGGAATTCTCATTCGGTGACTTGATTAATTGACTGAATAATAAATGTCATAAATAAAATGCCAAAGTTTTCCATTGACCTTTTGAAGGCAGTATAAAACTGTATTACAATGTGAGAAAGCAGATATCAGTGTGCATGCTTCCTAAATGTTCTCTTATTATAATCTCCCTAAAACCTCAGCCGAACTGATCCAAAAGTGACACTTTATGCTATCCAAAATATCACAAACACTTATTCTCTACTTTTTTTTTTTGGGATAGAAATCGAAGAATACTATCGTAGTGAATGGAAAGAGTAAAAATACAAGGGAGGACAAGGTGTCCTCTATAGATACATGAACAACAAAGAAAAGAAAGTCTGAACAAGCTCAAAACAAAATAAAACAAAGCAATGAAGTAATTGCATGGCATCACTTTTCACACACTTTGACCCAATGATCTTTAATTAAAAATAATGGAATCACTTCAAAATTCTTGGCCTTTGATCAGCGCATGCAGAAGAAGTTTCTTTTACAAGCCCTTGAACATCCAAAGAAGACCAAGCTTGGGCAGCATACCAGTGGCAGCAGCCTATGGTCCCCATGCTGTTTATGTCTTGTGATTTCTTTATTTGTGTCCAACGTTTGTTTCTTTTGGTTAGCTATGTCAGTTATAAATAAGAGTATTCTTGTAGTTATGTTATTTCTTTTTTAAAGTCATGTGATTTTTAAATGAGTCATGCTGGGCAAATTTATAGCCCTTAGATTAGTTCTAAATAATGCGTTGAGATTGACTCCTTTTTTAGGGCAACCCAAGAGACTTCAAAAGGGTTGTTCCAAGTTGTTTTCCGCAGCTTTTGGAATAATATTAACATATTTCTGCTTCTACAGCAGCCAACCTTATTATCTCCCTCTCTTTGGGATTGAGTGTGGGTGTTTAAGCTAATCTTTTAGCTTGATTTAGCTCTCTGATTCTCCTTCTCATTGGATTTTCAGTTTCGCCATAAGTTGATTCCATTTGTTGGTCTAAAAGCACAGTTCTGACTCTTTCGTGTTTCTTGGTGATTTGATAGATTTCATCTTGGGTTTGCAATATCCTGCCAAAGAGAATAAATCTACCTTATAGGCCAGCCATTCAGCCAAATCAGAATGTAGCAGTTGATCAACAACAAAAGCTCACTATGGTAGAAGATTTAAGAAGGCAGATTGAAGCTTTAGCTCACCACGTTAACATCATCTATAAAGACATCACCTCTTTATTGCCAACTTCTTAAGGTAATTCCCACTTTTCAAATTGATGAATGTGTGGATTCTACGTTTCTTAATAGATGCGTGGATAAAAGAAAAACCTTCACCGAGTACCGAAATACTTGTCAAAAATGCGATTAGGAAACACCTGTTCTGTCACTCGCCAAATCAAAATATGATGTTACAATGCAAACAAAGCCCAAGAAGCATGATACCGGAGAAGTTGACCAACAACAAAACACACTGATGACTATTTTCTTCCGCCTCTTTAGTCTTAAGAATGCTGATTTTAAGGTGTGATTGTCCTTCTTGGACCCTTACTTTCAATACACTACACTATAGCCAATTGCCAATACAACATCTTGAGTTTATAGTAAAGTCAGCTTTGGTTATCGCTATAGGCCCCTCCTAAAGATAGCATCAAATTTGAGGAGGAGAATTAACCTGCAAAAGATTCCATAAATCCTTTTCATGCAAATGCAACACATCAATTTTCATGATAGGCATTGGGATGGTGGGTTACAGATAGTGATTCTGAAATTCGCGGGAGAATGATGAAGGCTTTAATGATTGGTTATCCATTGTAGAGGGAGTTTTTTTATTTAAAGGATGTGTTGGAAGACAAGAAAGTGAAATGGATTGCAGTGAACTTAAGGGAAGAGAATCTACTTGGTGGGATCAACCCATCGTGACATGCCGAAGACAAGGAAAGCCTAAGATTGTTAATTGGAAAAAGATGAGTACGAAGCTAAGGGAGACTTTTCTTCCTTACAACTACACCTAATTAGTAAATCAAAGGGTGCAAAATTTCTTCATGGAAGTAGGAATTTTGTGATTACACAGAAATTCTTTAAACTGGTTCTTAGGAATGAGTTAAATGAGAGTGAAGAACAAAATGTGGCAAAGCATATTGCAGGGCCACTGGTGAATCTACAAGATATACTAAATCAGTAATATGTTTGGAATGTTTCACTTTCATATCAGTTGCTGAACCAGTAGAAATTCAACAAACCAGAGGGTCCAACAAAGCTGTGACAACCGATCTTCTTCCAACTGTGTAGCTTCTACACAAGTGGCACCCCAAAGGGGCAATACTACAGCTCCTCAGTTGCGACCAAATGTAGGAACTTCTAATGCTAAAAAGCAATCTAGATGGGCAATTGATAAATGCTTCAAGTGTGGAGCACCAAGGCACAAATCAGCCGAGTGCCAAAAAGTAAATAGCCGTGAGGGGAAGCAACTTCTTGTAGAAGAATATGGAGAAGAAGAACAGAACAACCAGGTGAAGACTCAAGAGTAAGAACCAGTCTATGATGACGAAGACGACAATGTTATCATTAAGGGAGATGTGGGACAATGTCTTGTGATACAAAAAGCCTTTATAGCACCACACCTCAAAGATCCTGAAGATTGGTTGCAACATAATATGTTCCAAACCATTTGTACCATCATGGGACATGTTTGCAAGTTGATTATAGATAGTGGAAGTTGTGAGAACATCATTTCCCAAGAGAAAGTGACAAGCTGAATCTATCCATGGAGGTGCACCATAGCCCTACAAACTTTCTTGGTTTAAGAAAGGCAACGAGGTACCCATTACTAAGAGATGTTAATTTATCTCTTGGTAATAGGTAGCTTGATAAGGTGTGGTGTGATGTGGTTGCAATGGATGCATGTCATATCTTATTTGGAGAACCGTGGGAGTATGATGGCCACAGGAACACTAATACTTTCTGCAAGGAATGGAAGAAAATTATTTTTGTCCCATATAAAGAGGGAGTTACACTGAAAACTAGAAAAGGCAAGGTGTTACTTTGCTTTCTATGGCCAAGTTTGTGGAGGAAATGGAAGAGAATAGTATAGTCTATATTTTGGTGGGTAAAGAGCAGTCCATGGGAACTAGCTGTCCAGCAGCTATTCAACCACTTTTGGAGGCATTTTCTGTTGTTATGCCACAGAATTTGCCTCCTAGATTACCTCCCATGAGGGATATCCAAAAGCACATTGACATAGTGCCTAGAGCTAGTTTACCTAATAAGGCCACATTCCCGGATGAGCTTGACAGAGCATGAGGAGCTTAACAGGCAGGGTTGAGAGTTATTAGAGGTGGGTTATGTGTGTGAAAGCAAGAGTACGTGTGTTGTACCAGCCCTATTAGTTCCCAAGAAAGCTGGAAGTTGGAGAATGTGTACTAATAGTAGAGCCATTAAAAAAATTACTATCAAGTACCAATTTCCCATTCCTTGGTTCGATTATATCCCAAACTAACTTTTTCGAGCAACAGTGTACTCCAAAATCGATCTTAAAATTAGCTACCACCAGATTCGAATCAATTCCATTGATGAGTGGAAAACGGACTTCAAGCCTCAAGAAGGATTGTATGAATGGCTTGTTATGTCAATTTGCTTTGTTAAATGCACCGAGCACTTCTATGTGTGTTATGAATTATGTGTAAAAACCTTATATTGGACAATCTGTTGTGGTATATTTTGATGACATTCTTGTGTATAGACTTTCGGTTGAGGAGCATGAAGAACATATGAGAGCCATTTTGATAACTTTAAGGGAGCAAAAATTGTTTATTAACTTGAGGAAATGCAGTTTTATGACAAATCGGGTTTTGTTCTTGGGATATGAAGTGTCTTCACAAGGAATTCACGTGGATCAATCCACAGAGCAAGTCATTGTTGACTAGCCAAGTCCTACAAACATCCACCAGGTTCGTGGTTTTCATGGTTTGCAATCATTTTATCCGTCGTTTATCATAGATTTCAGCTCACTTGCAGCATCTCTTACAAGGACTGCTGAAGCTAAAGAAAGTTTCCAAATTCTGAAAAGGAAGCTGTCCAAAGCTCTTATTCTTGTCATATGAGATTTTGGTGAAGTCTTTGACATCCATTGTGAGGCTTCTAAGATTGTCATTGGAGCTGTACTTAGCCAGAAAGGAAAACTTGTGGCATTTTACAGTGAGAAGTTTAGTGGAGCGAAGCTGAACTACTCCACTAATGATGTGGAATTTTATGCTATTCTACAAACTCTCAACCATTGGGAACATTATCTCAAAGGGACTACAAGGCTTTTTAGTATTTAAATGGAGAACAGACCTTAAATTGTCGGCATGGAAAATAGGCAGCCTATCTACAACAGTTTAATTTCAGGTTGAAGCATAAGTCTAGTATTCAGAACAAAGTGGCCGATGCTTTAAGTCAAAGGTCTCTTCTGTTATCCACTATGCATATGTGCAGGTAGTGGGGTTTGACATTTTCAAATATTTATAAGTTTTAGATCCATTCTTTGGCAAAAAAAATCATGAAGAAATAGAACAAGGCAAACGGCAAGATTTTTGTTTGCAATCTGGTGTTCTCTTTAAAGGAACAAAATTGTGTATTCCGTAGTGTTCCTTAAGACAAAAAATAATAATTTAGCCCAAAAAAAAAAAGACAATTTCTTCAATTGCATAATGAAAGGGGCACTTTGGTAGAGACAAAACATATGCCTTTATTGAAGCTAACTACTTCTGGCCAATACTTAAACAGAATGTTAATAGAGTGGTTGAGCATTGTCACACTTGTCAAGTGTCAAAAGGGGGAGCAACCAATGTTGGTTTATATACTCCTTTGCCAATTCCAAGTGCTCCATGGACTGATGTTTGTGTGGATTTTGTGATTGGACTTTACCGAACAGAAACAGGTATGGATTTTGTTCTAATTGTTGTCGATAGATTCTCTAAAATGGCACATTTCATTCCACGTAGGAATACTATGGATGCTTCTCAGATTGCTAACTTGTNCAAGTACCAATTTCCCATTCCTTGGTTCGATTATATCCCAAACTAACTTTTTCGAGCAACAGTGTACTCCAAAATCGATCTTAAAATTAGCTACCACCAGATTCGAATCAATTCCATTGATGAGTGGAAAACGGACTTCAAGCCTCAAGAAGGATTGTATGAATGGCTTGTTATGTCAATTTGCTTTGTTAAATGCACCGAGCACTTCTATGTGTGTTATGAATTATGTGTAAAAACCTTATATTGGACAATCTGTTGTGGTATATTTTGATGACATTCTTGTGTATAGACTTTCGGTTGAGGAGCATGAAGAACATATGAGAGCCATTTTGATAACTTTAAGGGAGCAAAAATTGTTTATTAACTTGAGGAAATGCAGTTTTATGACAAATCGGGTTTTGTTCTTGGGATATGAAGTGTCTTCACAAGGAATTCACGTGGATCAATCCACAGAGCAAGTCATTGTTGACTAGCCAAGTCCTACAAACATCCACCAGGTTCGTGGTTTTCATGGTTTGCAATCATTTTATCCGTCGTTTATCATAGATTTCAGCTCACTTGCAGCATCTCTTACAAGGACTGCTGAAGCTAAAGAAAGTTTCCAAATTCTGAAAAGGAAGCTGTCCAAAGCTCTTATTCTTGTCATATGAGATTTTGGTGAAGTCTTTGACATCCATTGTGAGGCTTCTAAGATTGTCATTGGAGCTGTACTTAGCCAGAAAGGAAAACTTGTGGCATTTTACAGTGAGAAGTTTAGTGGAGCGAAGCTGAACTACTCCACTAATGATGTGGAATTTTATGCTATTCTACAAACTCTCAACCATTGGGAACATTATCTCAAAGGGACTACAAGGCTTTTTAGTATTTAAATGGAGAACAGACCTTAAATTGTCGGCATGGAAAATAGGCAGCCTATCTACAACAGTTTAATTTCAGGTTGAAGCATAAGTCTAGTATTCAGAACAAAGTGGCCGATGCTTTAAGTCAAAGGTCTCTTCTGTTATCCACTATGCATATGTGCAGGTAGTGGGGTTTGACATTTTCAAATATTTATAAGTTTTAGATCCATTCTTTGGCAAAAAAAATCATGAAGAAATAGAACAAGGCAAACGGCAAGATTTTTGTTTGCAATCTGGTGTTCTCTTTAAAGGAACAAAATTGTGTATTCCGTAGTGTTCCTTAAGACAAAAAATAATAATTTAGCCCAAAAAAAAAAAGACAATTTCTTCAATTGCATAATGAAAGGGGCACTTTGGTAGAGACAAAACATATGCCTTTATTGAAGCTAACTACTTCTGGCCAATACTTAAACAGAATGTTAATAGAGTGGTTGAGCATTGTCACACTTGTCAAGTGTCAAAAGGGGGAGCAACCAATGTTGGTTTATATACTCCTTTGCCAATTCCAAGTGCTCCATGGACTGATGTTTGTGTGGATTTTGTGATTGGACTTTACCGAACAGAAACAGGTATGGATTTTGTTCTAATTGTTGTCGATAGATTCTCTAAAATGGCACATTTCATTCCATGTAGGAATACTATGGATGCTTCTCAGATTGCTAACTTGTACTTCAAGGAGATTTTTTGTTCATGGGGTGCCAAAGTCCATTACTTCTGATCGAGATAGAAAGTTTATGAAACACTTTTGGAGGATTCTATGGAAGAAATTGGGATCTAAATTAAACTTCAGTACAGTTTATCATCCTCAAACAGTTGGACAAACTGAGATTGTAAACAAGAGCTTAGGAAATCTGATTCGTAGTCATGTTGGAAATAACCTTGAACAGTGGGATCAGGTTCTCTCATGCAGATTTTGCTTGCATGACAAAGGTGAGTCCATTTGAGATTGTATATGGACACAATCCAAAAAGTATTTGGCATAGCTCTATTAAGTAATAACATTAAAATCACCTTCAAGACACCAATTGGGACGACGACTGACCTCCAAGACACCAGTTGGGACTACACAATCGTTGCTAGCTTTTCCCACCAACAACTTCCAAGTCTAGCTCTATTTGAGTCATAAATCACTGTCAATCACTACGCCACCCTGGTTTCTAAATTCGTCCCAAATTGGGAATCCTCCATAACAACTTCCACATCTCTCACCACTGCTGCACCCCGAATAATCAAAATACTCTTGTCACAAGAGGGTAAAAAGGACCAATTTTTTTACATAACTTCCCACACGCTCTTGATGAATCTGTTATCAATAAAATCTAGCTTAGTTTCTTAAAATATTAGGATATGCGGACTTGCCCAATCAATCATTTTGACTCACGTTTCAAATCTTCATGGAGCCACAACTGTAACCGTAAGCTATTAGAAAGCACTCCACCTTCATAATTTATACATGACTGAAGATTCCTTCACTTTATAATCCCCTCCCTTCTAATACCCTCTTTTGAAACTTTTCTACTTTCTCCTAACTTACCCATGTTGAAATTATCTTTTCTATTTCCCTTACCCCTTTTTAAAAGGGACAAAATCATCTTATCTAATATTACTTTC